GGAAATGATAAGAGAAGAGAACAAAACAGATGGGAAGAAAGGAAAAATGAATTTGGTGAGATAATGATTGTGAGTTCAATCCCTAGATTGGGTAGTGTGTTCATGCGCCCAGTGTAAACGGACGAGAAGTAAACAACCAGTACTAAATAATAAAAAAAAACAAAAAAAACTATACGATATCTCGAGACATGGGCAGTGGAACGAAAACAGTCTACCCCGTAGATTAAATAAAATATTCAGTTCAGAATTGCCTGTGTAGGTTAGCAAGACAGAGGAAGGCCGGAGGGCACAACGGCCGAAATGATGTGATAACAACAACAAAGATGAAGACAATTGTCTGAATATAAATAGTAGTGTGAATATGTTAGAAAGAGAGTAATTTTTTAAACAAAAGAAAAAAAAAAAAACGATGAAAATGTTTGAATGAAAAAAAACAAGAATAATTCATTATGAACAGAAATAAGTAAAATTTTTAAGAAAATAGCAAGAAACTAAAGAAACTCTAAAATAAACAAAATGTAAAAAAATTATGCCGTAAAACAGACAAAAAAAATGAAGCTAAACATATTTTTAAAAATGAGAATAAAAAAGGAGACACACACACATATATATATATATATATATATACATACATACATACATACATTCTTTTTATAGATACAGATATTTACGTAAATGCTCTGTTTATAATAAGCAATATAAACAACATTTACCGGCCAGAATGTCCGACAAATTTTCATAGAAAATATACGTCCGCCGACAGGAATCGAACCTGTATCCTACACGGAACCGTCACATAGCCTGACGTGCTATATCAATTTAGCTACAGAGGAGCGTCTGGTTAGAAAGGTCGATTTTACTGCTTTTAAACTACAATTTTGCATGATTTTCGTCGAACGTTCATATCTGCTCGAAGTGTATCTAAACGTAAGTAAATGACGTCACACAATATGAAATGGACAAAGTCCGACAATTATTTTAAATTATCTTCTGTTTATACGTTATTTTTATAGATACAAATATTTAAGTAAATGTTCTGTTTATAATAAACAGTATTAACAATATTTACCGCCCTGAATGTCCGAGAACTTCCATAGAATATATGTCTCCTCCAACAGGAATCAAATCGGTATCATATACGGAAACATCATATAGTCTGACGTGCTATACCATTTAGCTACAGAGGAAGCCTTTGGTTAGCAAGGTCAAATTACTTATTTTAAATCATGGGAAGTTTGTAGTTTAAAATCAGTCATTTGACCCTGCTAAGCAAACACTTCCTCTGTAACTAAATGGTATAGCACATCAGGCTCTATGATGGTTTCGATACAGGTTCAATTCCTGTCGGAGGACTCATATTTTCTATGAAAGTTCTCGGATATTCACGCCGGTAACTGTTGTTAATACTGTTTATTATAAACAGAGCATTTATTTAAATCTTTGTATCTATAAAAATAACGTATAAACAATAAATATATTCAAATAATATCGGACTGACTTAGTCCAGTCCATTTCTATATAAGAAATATGTTGTAGTGGTTCCAACGAGAGAAAAGTATGTATATTAAAAAGAAGAGAAGAGAGGTGCCGCTAACGTTTTTGGTTGTAATGTGGATTTATTTAGAAAAAATATTATGCTTTGTTTTACATAATTTTACGGCACGTGTTTCTGGTCTCGCGACCGTCTTCAGGTAAAAGTGGAGATTTCTACATATTATTAAAAAAAGAAAGAAATTCGGATTACCAACACACAAACAGAGAATGTCTCATATCGAGAATATTTCACATTGAACATGAAGAAAAATTAATTATTTTTAATAATATGTAGAAATTCCACTTTTACCTGAAGACGGTCGCGAGACCAGAAACACGTGTCGTAAAATTATGTAAAAACAAAGCATAATATTTTTTTCTAAATAAATCCACATTACAACCAAAAAAACGTTAGCGGCACCTCTCTTCTCTTCTTTTTAATTATATTTAATATATAACCATTAACGTGAATTAGAGAAAAACATTTGCAAAAAGAAAAAAAAAAATAAAAGGGAAAATACTCAAAATATAAAAAAAAGAGAAAAGAAAAGCAAACAAAAACAAATTAAAATAAATACAAAAGAAAGAACAAAAAGTAAAATATATATATATATATATATATATATATATATATATATATATATATATATATATAAATGTATACAAATTTAGGATTTTCATTAACAAGGAAATGACCTCATTTACTGTATTCCTTTTCACAATGTAATGGAAGCTGGCTGTGCCAGAGCCCCTCAAACTATGAATAGGTAAAAGGTGAAAATTCCGTTAAAAAGGAAATGATTGGAAGTAAAAAAAACAAAATGGCGGAAAACGGTCAGAAAGATAACATAGTAAAAAAAAAATGGCTACCATATATATATATATATATATATATATATATATATATATATATGTATATATTGTTAGTGTGTGTTAGGTACTACTGTAAATCCGTTTAGGAAGGCGAAAGAGAAACTGAGTGGGGAAAATACGTTCGTTACAGCTCGAAAGGAAAGACTGGAGAGAAAAAGGAATACGAAACAGACGACCGCCATAGAATAAAAGGCGGGAAAAAAAGATGTTTGTTTTACTGACCTACTTCTAAAGACGGTGGTCGGATATTAACGGACCAGAGGGTATAGAGAGAGAGACTAAAGTACGAGAAATAAACAGAGTGAGTTATACGGATCGAATGAGATTTATAGATAAATGAAGACTTCGATGTTACTGAGGGAAAATAGTTCACCTTATATTGATCGATAGGTAAATATAAAGTCTTTTATCTCATTGATCTTAAAGATGACAGAAAATGTAGTTATATCCAGTTGCTTTATAAGGTTTACCAACCTTTTGTAGGTTATTTAAAGCCATAAATCATTTTACATCGTCAGAGTTTGTTTAGATAATGTTATATGGAAGTCCTACTAATTAACACATAACTGGCAAAATGTCTTTCCTGTCGGGATTTTACGCATGAGTAAATATAATGAACCTAACTGGAATTGGAACACGGCTCTTTGATTTCCACTTCCGAGCTAATATACATTGCATCGCCCGCACATCAAAGCTTATAACACTTGGTATTTCCAAGCAGTAATCCATCTTGCATATACAATTTGAAACAAATATATATATATGATAGACTCCCCATCGGTTTCGACGTATGAGGTTCTGACAACTTTGTTTATTTAACCTTGTGTCTGAGTCGCAAGTGACATTTCAGTCCTGCTAGTGATTTGCAAAGAAGTCCACAAATTGTGCAAGAGTGTGTGTTCTTGGAGTATATGGCTGGAACAGCAGCAGATATTTTATTCCTTTCCCTAGTTTGACGAAGCTTGACAATGTTTGATGCTGCCTTGTTCTTGATGCCATTGTAGCATGTAGTCTTCCATTCATTACAATCAATTACGATGTTCTCAAAGGTAGTGTGATTTATATTCGCAGCTATGAGGTTACTTTTCAGCTTGTCCCTGTACCTAAGCAAAGGCCGACCCCATATATATATATATATATATATATATATATATATATATATATATATATATATATATATATGTATTAGTTTGTAACGCCTTGTTACAAACTAATATCCATAAACTGAATATGTTACCTCTATCACTGATATTGAGCACTTTCCACGATGTACTGCGCAAATATATATATATATATATATATATATATATATATATATATATATAATACAATTACAGTTAACCCGGATATAAGAGAGTTGTCGGGACCGGAGAAGAAGTCTCTTATATCCGGGTTTGGTCTATTATATATACATTAACACAGGCTCTAATTTGGGACCAGAGAAAATCTCTCTTATATCCGGGTTTGGTCTATTTTATATACATTAATACAGGCTCTAATTTGGGGACCAGAGAAAATCTCTTATATCCGGGTTTGGTCTATTTTTATACATTAACACAGGCTCTAATTTGGGACCAGAGAAAATCTCTCTTATATCCGGGTTGGTCTATTATATATACATTAACACAGGCTCTAATTTGGGACCAGAGAAAATCTTTATATCCGGGTTTGGTCTATTATATATACATTAACACAGGCTCTAATTTGGGACCAGAGAAAATCTCTCTTATATCCGGGTTTGGTCTATTATATATACATTAACACAGGCTCTAATTTGGGACCAGAGAAAATCTCTCTTATATCCGGGTTTGGTCTATTTTATATACATTAACACAGGCTCTAATTTGGGACCAGAGAAAATCTCTCTTATATCCGGGTTTGGTCTATTTTATATACATTAACACAGGCTCTAATTTGGGACCAGAGAAAATCTCTTATATCCGGGTTTGGTCTATTTTATATACATTAACACAGGCTCTAATTTGGGACCAGAGAAAATTTCTCTTATATCCGGGTTTGGTCTATTTTATATACATTAACACAGGCTCTAATTTGGGACCAGAGAAAAATCTCTTATATCCGGGTTTGGTCTATTTTATATACATTAACACAGGCTTAATTTGGGACCAGAGAAAATCTCTCTTATATCCGGGTTTGGTCTATTTTATATACATTAATACAGGCTCTAATTTGGGACCAGAGAAAATCTCTCTTATATCCGGGTTTGGTCTATTTTATATACATTAACACAGGCTCTAATTTGGGACCAGAGAAAATCTCTTATATCCGGGTTTGGTCTATTATATATACATTAACACAGGCTCTAATTTGGGACCAGAAAATCTCTCTTATATCCGGGTTTGGTCTATTTTATATACATTAACACAGGCTCTAATTTGGGACCAGAGAAAATCTATCTTATATCCGGGTTTGGTCTATTATATATACATTAACACAGGCTCTAATTTGGGACCAGAGAAAATCTCTCTTATATCCGGGTTTGGTCTATTTTATATACATTAACACAGGCTCTAATTTGGGACCAGAGAAAATCTCTTATATCCGGGTTTGGTCTATTTTATACATTAACACAGGCTCTAATTTGGGACCAGAGAAAATCTCTCTTATATCCGGGTTTGGTCTATTTTATATACATTAACACAGGCTCTAATTTGGGACCAGAGAAAATCTCTCTTATATCCCCGTTTGGTCTATTATATATACATTAACACAGGCTCTAATTTGGGACCAGAGAAAATCTCTCTTATATCCGGGTTACACTGTATTACAATTATACTATTATAATAATATTTTGCTCAACTTTCTTTTGAGCAATGTTTGAAAAAATAAATGCTACAAACTGTGGATTTTTACTCCATCTACTTTGGACAAAAGACTTAAGGCATTGGACGATTTGTTTCGCCCTGTTCTGATGTTTTTTTTAGTTTTTTTTTTATTTCCAATTTTTTCCTCGGGTACCGATTTGTTTTGACATATCTACAAGTTTTGATATCCAAGATTTTTTCCAAATGAATAATACTTAGTGGTATATATATATATATATATATATATATATATATATATATATATATATATATATATATATGTGTGTGTGTGTGTGTGTGTGTGTGTGTGTGTGTGTATGTGTATTTATATACTTGAGACTCTGAAAGAGTTTTCAATGCATAGGATGGGTACCGTAGTTCATTTGCTAGATAGTCAGACCCTCTGCACATAAGATTTGATTAGAGCAGTAAACACTTGTGTTAACCAAAACACACATTTCCAACAGAGCTAAAAACAGAATACTGATGCACTTTTGTGCAACAAGATCTCGAAACGACACTCAGGATTTGAATTCACTGCTTTGTTTATTTATGAATGTGTATATATGTACTAATAAGGAAAAGAATGATTATTTTCAGTAATAGATGCATATTACTTGGGATGCACCTTTTGAATAAGATAATTTTGGTAAGTAGGGGGTTGATATTCTGACTTATGGTAAAAAGGGTGCATTGGGCAAAAAAGGTTGAGAAACACTGTCTTAGATGTTACTTTGACTATCACTAGAACTTCAAATAAAAATGATCCACATAAATGTATCTAGGGGGATGCAAAAGTAGGTATACAGTAAGTATTATACCATTAAAAATAACAATTATTATAATAGTGCTTATAAGATTCATTTAATACAAGAATTGCTGTATATCTACTTTTACATCCCGCTGTATGTACTAAGATGAAAAAGAACGAAGATTTTTCAATAATATATGTATATTACTTGGAATGTACCTTTTGATTTAAATGCCCAAATCTTTTCATTGAACTTAGTGTTTATCAAATTACATTAACCTGGAATTCTGTTGAAGTTTTTGTTTATTGAAGTCTGCTTCAATTTATTTATTTAATAATTATGAATTAAAACAAATTACTGTAGATATATTCAAGTTTAAAAATCCATCAACGTTTTCTATTGCTATTAAATTTGTTAAACTCCTCTATAAAAATAATCCATGTAAATGTATATGTACTTATATGAAAAAGAATGAAGAATTTTCAATAATATATGCATATTAGTTGGAATCCAGCTTTTGAGTAGGACAATCTTGGAAAGTGAAGAAATAACATTCTGACTTATGATGAAAAATGGCATTGAGCTAAAAAAAAATAAAGAACACCACTGTCTTAAACTGATTGTCAAACACAGCAAGAGAGCTCAGTCTGCCTTAACTCATAGCTGGAGGGGAGGAGAAGAAAGGCATTTAAAGTTAATATTACAAAATCGGCTGGGATTTGAAACTGTCTGTCAGATTTTCTCGTTCCGAAACGCTAACCATTGATTCATCTGGACTTCCTGTTGGTCGATAGCATTTATTTGGCTTCAGAATTTTAATTGTCACGATTTCGAGCAGACAGACACACACACAGATTTTGAGCTTTATATATTAGATTACTGTTGGTAGATAGATGCTGATAATTTGACTGGAATAGATGTAAATAGGGACCGGTTGACACAGAATATCGGTGAAATAATCTCGAAGGATAATTGGCTGATGTCGACACGTCGCGAGATAAAGACAGAGGTAGGAGCAATGAATAGAGACATGAGGTAAAATAGATTCTGTGCCCAGATTACCGTAGGCATTGTAGACAAGGTCCATCTTAAATAGTTCCCGTTGTCATCGCAATGGCAGAAAGAATTCTCGTCTTTTATCAAAATCTAAGGTCTTTTCAGAAAAAAAACGCCTGAACTGAAACATCCTAAGTCTTTACCTTGCCACACCAATTGACTTTCTGACGATGGCAATTTCTTCCTTAATTTACGTCTTCACTCTGTCCCTTTCTTTCTCCGTTGTTGTTCTCCTTTCAGAAAAATAAATCAATAGTTGGATTCTTTCTCTTTCAAATGCCCGTTCGTTTCGCCTTCTGTCATCGTCATCTATCGCTGTGCAAAACCATATGACCTTTTTCATTCTCTCAAAAGCCTAGCACCATTTTCTTGCACTTTACATCCAAAACTAAACCGTGTTAGTTTTAGGTCTTTTTCTCCTTGCTTTTGATTATATTCACTCACTCTCTCTGTCTCTCGCC